ACCCTAATAAGCACGGGGCACAGCGACCCCCTCCCACACAGACAAACACACACACACACACACACCGCCCGCCGCTGTCCGGCAGCTCAACAACGGCCGGCTCGCCATGTTTGGCGCCATCGGCATGCTCACGCACGCGTACATCACCGGCAAGGGACCGCTCGAGCTGCTCGACGCAGGCAACGGCGGCATCGTCTTTTGAGGCGTGGCTGCGTGCGGCAACACCTGCAGGGTTGGGCGTCTTGCGCTGGGGCCTGCCGGCGTCTTGCGCACCTTCCGGCCGATTTGGCATAGTGGGCGGCCCGCGCCTCGTCGACGTGGTAGGGGTCGGTTGTGTGTCTGTGGGCCGAAACGCTGCCTCTCCCTCTGGACGTCTCTGGGGATCTTGTGTTCTTCTTGCATTTTTGCTCCCGGCTAAGGGAGCAAGCAAGCCCACTCAACCCCAAGTACTCACCGTTCTTACAGTGGTGTAGCTTGTGCAGAGGCTGCAGCCTCTGCTGGGGCGGAATGCGCGGGGTTTTCGGCGCGATGCCCTCGGCGAGTACACGCTACTGCTGTGCCGCACGCTCTCCTGCGCGCGCGTGACGTGTGGGACGCGTGCGCTGCGCTCAAACGTCGCGATTTGGCGATAGGCGCTCGAGCCGGCGCACAGCGGGCGGGTGCGCCGCGCAGGGGGGGTCGGAGGGGTGCGAGAGGGGGCGTGGGTCGGGCGCGCACCGGCTGGCTCCGGGAGCGGCCGTCACGTCGAGGAGTGGGGCTGTCGGCGGCTCGAGCGCCGAGGCGAGCCGCTCTGCTGCGCCGCCGACAGCCCCTCTTCCGAGCCGGCGCGTGGAGGCGAGCCGCGGCCGGTGTCGCTGGTGCGGGGGCGGCGAGGGTTCATCGGCCGGCAGCGAGAGCGACCGTCATGAATCGCGCCACCAAGACCGCGCGGCACGTACGCGCACTTGCCGGCCTCGAGGCGCGCTCTCCTTGCGCGGCATGCCCTGTGTGTGTCAGCGCTTCGCCTCGGAGCCGCTCGACTGTACGAGAGTCGGGCTCCGGCCCTCGGTACCACGGCAGCGACGGCGTGCTCCCTTCCGGCCGCGACAGGCGCGAGGCGGGTGGCGGTGCGGCGGCTGCTGATGCTGCTGCCGCGCAGAGCTGTCGTGCACCCGAGAAGTGGCACACAGCTCGAAGGCGGCGTCGGCGACCGCCGCGCTGGCTCTCTCTCCTCGGCAGACGCCGCGTCGCTTCTCGACGGCGGCAGCTGCTTCGCCGCGAGAGTAGCGAGGCGACGCACGCGCCTCCGCTCTGCGGCAGCAGCCTCTAGCGAACGCGCCGGCATAGCGCCGGGCCGGGCGAGGGCGAGCCGAGAAACACGTTGTGACGGCCCTCGTGTGAATCGCTTATCCGGCGCTCGAGGAAATAACACGGTTCGGGCTTCAAGTTACTTCGAAACCTGTGACGGCGAAAGAAAACGGAGGAAAACGCGAGAAAAGACTAAGAGAAGGGCTATTGCTCAAACTCTCTCTGAGAAGAATAGGTGTGCTGCGCTGTAGCGGCGACAGGCGACGGCAAAAATGCAAGCCCCGCCCCTGGCCACTGTTTTAGAGAAACTCATCTCGCGGCGGCGACGGAGGTCTCGAGAAGCAATATTGCCACTGCACCGAGGAGCAACGACCAGATCGATGAATCGTGCCGGCGTCTCAGTCGTCTGTCAGTCCGAGTCGTGCGGAGAGAGTCCGGAGACTCAGAACGTGAGGCGCTCGTGTGTCAGAGAGCGATAACAAATGAGAAGTTGCGACGGTGTATCATTCACTTTATGCCACCGTTGCATATGCAACGGTGGCATAAAGTGAATGATGCAACGGTGGCATATAAAGTGTGAATGATACACCGTCTCGCAGAAGTGAGCAGCGGCCAGCGCACATGCATTCCTCAAAAAGCCGCGGCACATCAACACGCACACGACAAGCGCGGCCGCGCCGTAGTTTCTAGTAAGAAGGAACAACCGACACCGAACCGATCTATACCGCGTGTCACATGCCGATGCCCGGGGGCGATGTGTATAGCCGCGGGGCCCGGTCGACATTCGCTAGATACACGCGTGTGAACGAAGTAGCATCCGTCAGGCGAGAGTGCTGCCGCTGCCGACGACCTCCCGTTCATCTCCCCCGCGCTGCAGCCCCCTCACGAGAACGGGAGCTTGAAATCCCCCAGCGGGCCAGAGCGGTCTGCCGCGGCGGCGGCCTGCTCCGCCGCCCTCGCCTTGGCTGCCTGTGCCTTGCCGCGCGCCTGCTGCTCCATGATCTTGAGCTGGGCGACCTGGGCGCTCTTTGACTTGCTCAGCGTCCCTCCCGGCGCATTGTCGCGAATCGCCATCCACTGCTCGCGGATCTTCATTGCCTCGGCGTCGAAGTCCTTGTCCTTCGATCCGCCCATCGGCACGTCAATCTTGACCTCCTTGGCGGCGAGCTCGGGCGACTTTGTGCCGCTCTCGGCCAGCTTTGCGGCGGTGGCCGCCTTCGCCGCCTCGATCTTGGCCTTGGCGGCCGACTCTGCGATCATCGTGCTGGGAAAGATGCTCGAGTCTGCTGCCTGGACGCTCACCCTGCCGATGCTGGAGCCAGGCGTGGCGATGGCAGAGCCTGGCGGCGACCACAGCGGCACGCTTGGAATCAACAGGGCGACCGCAGTCGAGCACAGCGCCAGCATGTCGAGCGCGCAGCGAGATGAGTGCCGACACACACGACAAAGAATTCGCCTCGCAGATCATCCGGCCCGCTGGAGGCGCTTCTCAGCATGGGCCTGGTTCGACGCGGCGAAGGCATAATCACACCCTGGCCCTGCCCCTCACAAGCGTGCACACGTTGACCTCGCCCTCGTTCGCCTCAGGCCGTATATCCCGCGTCCGACGAGAGCTTCTTCGACAAGGTCGCGCTGGCCTTCTGCACGACCGCCGCGTCCATTGCCTTCCTTGCCCTCCGCGATGAGGCGAGCCCCGCCGCCTCAGAGCGGGCCGAGGCGACGGCCCGGTGCTGTGTGTGACACAAAAAGGGCGTCTGCTGAGCGCCGCCTCGCGTGGATAGGCCGAGATGCGGCTCGTTGCCAACGCTCTCGCGATGATGCAAGGCAGTGCGTGGTGCGGCGCCGTCAGCGGATTGATTGAATGTACACGCGTTGGAGTCTTCCTGCTCAGTGCGTGCCTTCCACCTCGTGCCTTCCACCTCGGCGTCGAGCTCGACGCCCATAACCAGGTGCTGGCGGCGCTGGCGGTCACCCTCGCCGTGTCTTTCTGGGTCTGCGCAGCGGTGCTTTCTGAGAGTGAGACGTGATCAGCGTGGCGCGACCGCCGCAGCGCGCAGGGTGGGGACGGTGAGGTGTATGCAGAGGGCCAGCAGCTGAAGGCGTAAGCGTGAGCGAGGAGCAAGGCGCGAGCGTGTGCGCGCGCGACCGGTCGACGCGCACGACGGTCCGAGAGGGATACATGTAGTCGCCAGTGCGAGAGGTGGCCCTCATGCGAAAAAGCCCGGAAGGCCCCCAACATTTTTGCTTCATTTTTAATTCGTCAATAAAGGAAAAGAACTTCCGTCTCTAGCCGCGAAACGGAGTCGTCGTTTCGATGTACGTACTTTTAGCTTACTGGGAGAGAAGGAAGGGGGTTCTCTCTCTCTCTCTCTCTCGATGTAGGTACACCCCGTGCAGCGCAAGACACTACAAATACTCGAGGGGGGGGTGCGGCGGCCCTCCCCCTCGCTGTGTCGGCACGAGCACCTGTGACTAGCGGCCGCTCTTGGTATAAACTGTCAGATTTCGGGGCCCTGCGTGGGTTGAAAAAAGAAAAAAGAATTTGGCGGATGCTACCGCCGAAGCGGCCCGCCGACTGTGATCTCAAGCAATAATGGACGACGATTGGGTGGAGGTCGCCTCGGGCACCGAGTCGCAGGCACCCGGACCATCGGTCGAAGCACCAGGCAATTCGCCAGCTAAATTCCCCGGACCGCCGGCTGAAGCACCGGGCGATCCGAAGGAAACCGCGCCACGGCCATCGAGGCACATCACGATTGGCATCTTTTCGGACGCCACAGCCTCACTGGCCTCGCACGTCAACCGGCTGAAGAGCGTTGCGAAGGCCATCTTTGCCATCGTGCAGGGCATGAAGGCGGCCGGGGATGACGGCCTCGTCGTCCACATCGTGATGGCGGCGATGCGAGATTGGTGCGACGCCGCGCACGTCTTCAGGGTGTACACGGAGGAGAAGGCGTCTATCCGTGCGGGGGCAATTCTGCCGATGGCGTACACGGGCGCCGCCGGGCAGGACGAGCACCTCCTCCGCACCCTCGACGCGATGGCGTCCGACTGCCAGGGTTGGGCTTCCTCACCGCCTCTCGCCACCCCTCGCCTCCTCTCTCCGTCATCCATCGCCGCTCTCACCGCCGCCGCCCCCTCTCTCGCCAAGGCGACCCGCCCGCGACCCACAATCCACCTTTGCCTTAGGCGGCGGCGACGCGCCGGAGGAGTACGGCGTCGGCATCGCCGCGATGAGAGACCTCATGCGTTCGCAGCGCGAGCGGCTGGGCGACCACCCGCAGTTCGCCATCTGCTGATTAACGGTTACGTGCTTGCTCATCAATAGGTGGTGAGTTGATAGGCGACCACCCGCAGTTCGCCATCTGCTGATTAACGGTTACGTGCTTGCTCATCAATAGGTGGTGAGTTGATAGGCGACCACCCGCAGTTCGCCATCTTCGTCGCCGACGACGCGCACCACGGCCTCACGGACTCGCCAGACGGCGCCTCGTCCCCTCGGCTGATCTCGGATAATCTCGGGGAGTGGTGAGGAGCAGGCCTCACGGACGCGCCAGCCGGGCTCCTGACCACAAGCGGCGCCCCTTACGACGCCTACCCGGCGGGGAGCGCGCACATGCCTGCGGAGGGCGGCAAGTACCCTCCGTCGGTGTACGAGTGCGCCTACGCCCCCAAGAATGCGGCCGGCCGGGGGCAGTGGCAGGGAGTCAACGCTCTCTCGACACTGGGCGAGCTGCTTAGCGAGCAGGCCCTGTCCTGACAGGCCTCCCTGCTGTACAGCTCTCTCGCCTCTCTCTCTTTAGGCGAAGCTGCTCGACGAGCAGGCAGTTCTTCTATCAGCAACGATGATTCTCCTATCATTGTTCTCTTAGGCGAGCTGCTCGACGAGCAGGCAGTTCTTCTATCAGCAACGATGAGTCTCTTATCATTGTTCTCTTAGGCGAGCTGCTCGACGAGCAGGCCCTCCGCCCTCCGAGCCAGAGAGCCTCTCTAGCTGGCCAGCCTGTCGAAGGGGGGCACTGGTTACCGAGACTCAACGAGAGGACGGGGAGGCGGCTCGCCGTCCGGTGAGTATTACTGGTCCTCATCGTCGATGTCTCAGGTCTTTGCCGTCTGGTGCGCCGTCGGCAACGCAGTGCGCGGCTGCGACACTTTCCTCACCGCGCTGGCGCTGCAAATGGAGGCCGAGAGCTCGCGCGCCGACGGCGCCCCGCGGCGCGGCTTCGTCTTCCGCTACAGCGGCACCGGCCAGGCGGCACGAGCAGAGCTGACGAGCCGAGGCTGATCCCCTCCCACTTGCACCTGCCCCTGCGCCTTGCCAGGCGGCGTCGGACGTGCCGACGCAGATCGCGACTCTCATCTGCCAGCACGTCAAGGGGCGGGAGCTTCCGAGGGTGGACTGCATCCGGCTGGGCGGAGGCTCGCTCGAGCAGGCGCTCAAGGCGAGGGCGGCAGAGGTGGGAGCTCGCGTGAGCGCGACCCTGGCGGCCGCGACGCCGCACTTCGCACCATTCCGGCGATCATCGCCCGAGATCGCCCGAGATCGCCCGAGATCGCCCGAGATCGCCCCGAGATCGCCCGAGGTTACTACGCGGCGCCATTTCTCCCCCTTCCGGCCCACCTCGGCCAAGAGTACCCCTAGAGTACCCCTAGAGCACAGTACCCGAGGTGCACCTGAGCTCCGCCGAGGTCACCTGCAGGCGCGCCTCGGGCGACGCCGACGCGGTTGCGGGGCGGCGCGAGGTGCTAGAAGCGGAAGATCTCCCCGTATCTCCCCATACCTCCCCCATCTCTCGAGCGGCAAGATGCGGAAGATACACCCGCGTGTATACACCCGCGTGCCCCGAGCAGCGCCCCCCTGCCAGATGTCTTCCTGAGCTGTGCTCGGCTGCACGCACCGTCCTCGTAGCCCCTGCCGCGGTGCTCGGGACACGACACTACGCGGCACGAGACCGTACTCCCACGAGACCGTTACTCCCGCCCTGACGCTCGTGTGCTCATCACGTTAGGCTCGAGCGGCTTGCGGTGCTGCCGACGCTCAGCCGCTCGAACAGCTTTTCTCTGTGCGAGCAGAGGTGGGTAAGCGACGGCTGCGGGGCACCTCTGCACACGCAGGCCGCCGTGAGTAGGTGCGAGCGGATGGCGGAGGGAGACCGCGCCTTCGCCGCCGCGTACCGCTCTCTCAAGCCGCTCCAATCCGGGCCTCCCCTCTCCTCCCCTTGACAACTTCGCGCCCATGTCGGGAACTCGTCGATCAATAGGCTGCTCCACCTCGGTCCCACCCTCTCCTCCCCGCTCGCGGCCTCTCCCTCCCTCCTGCTCCGCCGACCCGGAGCAACACTCGGGCAATCTCGGCTAATCTTGATTAATAGGCCCCACCCTCAACCTCCGCGCCGCCGACGCTGGCCAGGACCGCCTCTATTCTCCCCCCTCCCCCCCCCGTCCCCTCCCATCTCCCCTCCCCTCCCCCCTCCCCTCCCCTCCCCTCTCCCCTCCCCTCTCCCCTCCTCACCTGTCCTGTCTTGTGCAGGACCGCCTCCGTGCGCCTACAAGGCAGCGGCGGAGAGGAGAGGGACGGCCCCGCGAAGCGCGCGAAGAGCCTCGCGCCGCCCGCCGCCTCGCCGCCCGCCGCCTCGCCGCTCGCCCGCGAAGAGCCCGCTGCCCCCGCCTTCGGGGCTCGCTTCGGGGGCGTAGCGCCAGTCGTCGCGCCAGGCCCGCCGTCGTGCTGTCGCCGCCGTCGCGGGTTAGCAATCTCGGGTGATCTCGGGTGTTTGTTCCTTGATAGGCTCGCCGCGTGTGCCGTCGCCGCCTTCGCGGCGGCTGACGACACCCGGCGCGCTAGGCGGCGCCACCGGCGTCCGAGGCGACGTCGAGCACGGGCTCTTCACACGTGTCCCGCCGTGAACAGGCGCCGAGCCCCTCTCGCGCGTGCCTTCGGCGGAGATGCGGCAGCAGCGGATCGCCGCAACCATCACACGACAGCGGTCGATGTGAGGCCATTGTAGACTGGCCGCTAGCCCACATGTGCCGCCAGCCGCGCCGCGCTCCGGTCGGCAAATTCCCACACATGCCCGGGAAACATACGTTACGTCTTTACGTTTGGTATGGGCGAATACACGGATGCATCAGCAAAATAGAGAGACGATGAAAAAACGAGGGAGAAAAGGTTACATTTCTTTTTGCCGCACATTTCTTTTCTAGGAAGCGCCGCCGGCGCAGGCCAGCTGTAGCAGGCTCTCTCGCGTTGGGAGGATCGCTGGTACCACCACCCTCCGGCGCGGGCGGTCGCCGTAGCCCTTAAGAAGCCGGGCCAGTACGCCAGTGCGCCTCCTCGAGCATACATGCTCCCTACTGTCTTCGCGCTCCCAAGCCTACACACTCCGCCAACAGTGGTCTCGCACGCAGCGCATCAGCCTCCTGAGCCCACCTCTTCCTCGTCGTCCTCTCCACGGTCGCTGGTCCGCCCTCCCGACGAGCGGCTCACCGCACTCGCCGCAGCCCACCGAGACCTGCTCGCGATCCTCGGCACCGATGAGGCAGCCATCCGAGCGAGGGTGGCCGAGCGGAGGCACACGTCGAGCGCAGCGCGCCACCCGCGCTCAGGCCGCAGCCTCAGCGCCCGATTCTTCTCCAAGACCGTCCCCAACCACCTGCCCATCCGCGCGCACTTCCCCGGCCCTGGATGTGAGGTTACTGACTGCACTCCAAGTGCTCCAAGTGCCTCATGATGGACTGCGTTCTGTGATTTCTTACTTTCTTTCGGGACGTATCTATTCATTTATTTCTCTTCTTGCTTGGCGATCTTGGACTGTGGCGGTCTCCGCAATTCGCGCCAATCTTCCGCTCAACCTCTTGTGATCTGCTAACAACACTACTCGTAACTGGCGGGTTTTCTCAACTGAAAAAAGAAGACGGCTTTACAAAACACACACCTTCAAAGATAGAGAGTCTGTGTGGTGGGAGAGAAGCCCCACGCAATAAAACAGAAGTCCGACCACGCACACTATTCGCACACGCCTGCCGTCTCTCATCACCTCATACCCCTACACGGCGTCGTCAACGCCGTCGCTGCCCTGGGATTCGGGTGGAGCCGGCGCGTGCCGCCGAAAACCAAGGCGCCCGGGGCTGCAGCGTTGCGAACCGTCGCCCTTCTCGGCGGAATCCTTGCCCTCGGACCCCTTGCCATCGTAGACTAGCGGCACGTGGTCGAGACGCGGCGACGCCACCCGGTCGCGCCACTCCCTCAGCGACTGCATCTCGCGCACCAGCCACTCGACTTGCTCCACGAGCGCCTGGATCTGCGTGCCCCGCTCAGAGATGGGCGCGCTGTCCTCGCTCATCGGGGGGGTGGCCCCGAGGCGGCTGGTGACCGCTTCGATCGAGCTCTTGAGCCGCAGGTTCTCGCCCTGAAGCGAGTCGAGCCGCTCCAGGGCGAGGGCTCCCTTGCCGCCGCCGTCGATGATGACGGGCGCCACGCGCGTAGAGTCGACGCGACGGAGGTACTGCTTGCGGCCGAGCTTGATCTGGTTGCGCCGCGCCCGCCAAAACTCGGTGGTCGCGCACATCGATTTGACGGGCCAGCCCTGCCAGATGACGCCGGGCTCGATGTTGTCGCCTGGGAGCGCGCAGGTGTGCTCGAGGAGCCGCGCACCCTCCGCAAGCGCACCGCCCGCCATGAGGCGCGACCACGCGCGCATCGTCGCGCCGGGCCCAATCGTGATTTTGGAGAGCGCAAAGTTGCCCTTCGTGTTCGTGTGGCAGATGATGAAGCCGGCGTTGATGCACGCTCCATCGCCGATGGTCACGAGGTCCGGCTCAGTCATCATCGGGTCCGAGCCGGTCGGGAAGAGGCACACGTCCTTCCCGATCGAGCAGCCGAGCGCCTTGAAGTGCCAGACGAGGTAGGCGGAGCCGTGCAGGTAGGGTAGGAGCCCGCGCCGAAAGACTGTCGATGCGAGGTACATGTTCCACCGCATGCAGTAGGACGACTTGTCCCACGGATAGACGCCGGCGCGCCGCCGTCCGAGCAGCAGCCACTTTGCCAGCACCTCCAACAGGTACGCCAGCATCACCATCAGCAGGTGCACGCCGATGTAGACGCCGAGGAGCGCGGCCCAGTACTCTGAGAAGCCAAGCCACCGGCCCACTTCCTCAATCTCGCCGTAAAACTCTGCCGGCGGCAGAGGCTCGACCTCGTCGCCTGGGAAGGCTGGCGGCGGCGGCGACGACGGCGGCGGCGACGAGATTGGCGGCGGCGGCGACGGGGCCCACAGCACAGCTGGGTCGAGGCCGAGCGCTCTATCGCGCTTCCACACCAGCTCAAGCAGCAGCCAGGCGGCGACGATGTTGAACGCGCGGTAGACGGCCGCGGCCGCAATGCACAGCACGTTGAATGCGGCGAAGAGCGGCACGACGGTCCGGCGCACAAAGAACGAACCACAGCACCACGCCGCGGTGTTCTCGATGGCGCCGGCCGCGATGTTGGCCTCGTTGCGCGTCCCGTAGAAAGTGCGGCCAAAGGCCTTTGTCGTCCTCGCGTTGGCGCGTAGCCCCGGCCCACCCTCAACCAAAACTTCTGTCCCATTGCCAGCAGACCCGACCGTGATGCAGCCCGCGCCGAGCTGCGCGCCCTCGGGCGCGAGCGAGCCCGACCCGAGGCAGCCGTTGACGCCGAGCGTCACCCCCGGCAGCACGTAGCAGCGGTCCGCCACATTCGCGCCGCGCAAGAGGGCGACGGGGCGGCTGACCTCGGCGGTCGAGCAGGCGATGACCGAGCGTGAGCCAAAGACGACATCGTCCTCGATGGTGAGCAGGTCGTACTCGACAACGTCCACGCCGCTCCCGGGCCAAAAGATCCGCTTGCCACACTTCGCGCCGAGCAGCCGCATGAGGAGCGCGACGCCGCCCCAGTGGTTGCCGATGAGGGCTGGCACGCCGCACAGGCGGCCGTCGGGCAGCAGCTCGCGCATAAGCCAAAACTGGAGGTGGCTCCATCGTGTCCGGGGGCCGGCGACAAAGCGGCCGATTACGATCCTCTTCACCAGAATGATCGCAAAGAGCTCCACGAAGGGCAGCACGACGGCGCGCTGCACGCGCAGCAGCACGTAAAATGTGAGCCGCCGCGGCGAGGTGAACCACTCGATGGCTGCGCCCCATGTTGTTGGGTCCTCGCCGCGGTCCTGCACCATATAAAAGATGGTCGCGAGCGGGAGCGCGAGCGCGGCCACCTTGACAAAGAGGAGGGTGGGCAGACCGACGAGGAGCCAGAGGCGGGTGGACGGCGGCGGGAACGCAGCGCGGCAGTAGCGGCGATTGTTGCTGTCCGAGTCCTGTTGCTCGTGGCTCGAGGAGAGCGGGCCGAGGCAGACGCCGTCCGCAAGGCGCGCTCCGGGCGCGATGGTCGTCTTTGCGCCGACGACACAGTTGTCGCCAATCTCGATGGCGCTGAGCATGGCAGCTCCGGCGTCGACGCAAAAGGGCGAGACCGTGGCCTTGGAGTCGATGGCGACGCCGTCACCGATTATGACGAGGTCGTGCTCTGTCACTTCGGCGTCGTTGGCGATTGTGCAGTCGATGCCAATCTTGGCCCCGAGGAGACGGTGGTAGCGCACGCGCAGCCCGTTGCTCAAGCCGAAGAGGCCGAGACCGCAGAAGCGGACGGTCTGGTTCACGAACCACCAGCGAAGGTAGTACGAGCCCCACAGCCTCGAGCGGCCCGCGCGGTAGCGCCCAATCACCAACCACTTGACGGCGATCCCCACAAACGGCATGACCGTCTCGCGAGCAATGTGCACGACCAGCAGCGCGAGCAAGAAGGCAATGTAGCGTGGCAGGACACTACGGTGGGCCGGCACCTCGAAGTCCTCTGCGTCGTCGACATACTCCACACGCTGAAAGTCCTCGTAGCCCTCCCACGTGCTGATGAGAGAGCCGTCGGGGGGCGCGATCCACACATCGCTTTCGTCGTCCGTGGGCCGATACTCCTCGCGCACCCACTCTTCCGTCTCGAACAGCTGCTGTGGCGAGAGGTAGATGAACACCGGCGCCGGATCCATCATCGTGAGCCAGAGGGCGAGGAAGAGCGCCCACGATGCGAGGCGGCGGAGGGGGTGGAAGAAGAGGAGCGGGAGCGATTGGACAAAGAGAGGAAGAAACGAGTGCTGGCTGACGGGACGCTGCGGCTTCGGCGGCTTGGCTGGGGCACCGCTCGCGAGCATCTCGCTCTCCTCGTGCAGGCCGCCCCGCTCAGCGAGGTCGCTGGGGTCGCGGGGCGTCCCCCCCGCTCTCATGGTGGCGAAACGGGCGAGTCGTGCGAGCGGGCCATCCTTCTCGAGGTCGCTGCGAGGCTCCCGCGCAAGCGTCGCCATCTCGAGGTCCTTTTGCCGATGGTGCGTCTCGACCGCCTCGGCGATCTCGGCGATGGTGCGCAGCTTGAAGAGGGTCGTCCCGCTCATCGGCATACCGAGCTGGCTCTTCACCTCGCCGGCCAACGTGCCGGCAAGCAGTGACGAGCCGCCGGAGAAGAAGAAGTCTGCGTCCATCGACGTATCCTCCTCGCGCGTGCCGAGCACAGCGCACCAGAGCTTTTGTACGGCGCGCTCGCGGTCCGTCCTCGGCGCCACGTGCGAGTGGACGGGGCGCATCTCAGGCAGCAGCGCCTGGTTGACCGCGCCGTCGCTGCCGCGCACCAGCGCGTCTGTCGGCACGACCCTCGCTGGCACAAGGTACTCGTGCAAGCTGCCAGTGAGCGCGGCGAGAACCTGCTCCGCGTCCACCGTGGCGGGGCTGACGTAGCCCACAATTGCCCGCCGGCCGCCCTCCAGCTCGCGCTCACACACGTACGCGTCGTCCACGCCAGGGAGCGAGCGCATCGCCGCCTCTGCGTCGGGCAGGCGCACTTCAAGTGGCGCCGTCGGAATGGGCGCCTGGACGGGTGCGCCGGGCGGCACCATCTCTGCCTCAAAGAGCCGGCCTCGCTCGGGCGTCTCGTCCGAAATCTCAGGCAGCGCCATGCGCTTGTCGAGGCGCACGCGCATCGCCTTGCCCGTCGCGGTCTTTGGCAGGTCGCTCGCGTAGACGACCAGCTGCGGCCATTTGGAAGGGTGGAGCTCCAGGGCCGCGTGCGCCTGCAGCCCCTGCAGGCCGACGCGCGGCATGCCCGGCTCGGTGACGACGCACACACCGATCGTCTCTTGCAGCAGGGCGTGCGGCGTCGAGAAGGCTACGAGGCTCCTCACCCGCGGGTGGGACACGAGCGCATTCTCAATCTCGGACGGTGCGATGATCTCCCCGCCGCGGTTGATGACCTCCTTGGAGCGGCCCGTCACGTAGAGGTAGCCGTCCTCGTCGAGGTATCCGAGGTCGCCCGTCTTGAACCACGCCTTGCCGGGCCCGATGAAGTTCTTGGCGGTCTCCTCTGGGTTGTTCTCGTATGCGCGCATCACCGGGTGGCCCGAGACGCATATCTCGCCGACGGTGCCGCTCGGTGCCTCGTCGCCAGACGCGGCGTCGCGGATCGTGCAGCGTGGGCCCACGATCTGTCCCGAACTGCCGGGCCGGTCGAGGTTGTACCCGACGGGCGGCGACGAGATGGGCATGCACTCTGTCATCCCGTACGACGGCATGATGGAGCAGAACCCTCCCGCCGCCGCCGAGTAGGTGTCGCGCATCTCTTCGGCAATGGTCGGGAGAATCGGCCCCGCCGCGTTGGCGATGAAGCGGAGTGATATGCGTGGGCGCGGCGCGGGGAAGGCCTTGTACGCCTCGAGGATCATGGTGTGCATCGTCGGGCCCGCGTAATACCATGTGCAGCTGAAGTCGCTCGCGACCGTCCAGAAGAGCTTCGGCTCGAAGTACGGCATGCACACGACGGAGCCACCAGAGAGGATCGGCGCGAGCACATTTCGTGCGATGCCGCCGATGTGGAAGAGCGGCATTTGGTTGCAGCACACGTCTTTGGGGGTGAGCTGGCAGGCGGAAGCGATGGCGACCGCGCCGATCAGCAGGTCCTCGACGGTGTGTGGCACCACCTTTTTATTGCCTGTTGACCCGCTGGTGTGGAGCACCATTGCGCAGTCCTCCCTCTGCTGCGGCTGCCAGCGGCTGTCTTCTGGATCCAACTGCACCACGTCGCTCCTGCGATCCGCGATGTGGGCCTTCATCTGAAAGATGCCCGCGGTGGCCGGGTCGAGGGTGCACTCTATGACCACGAGCTCGAGCTCCTGCGCAGGGCGTGCGGAGTACGGAGTCACGGCACCCCTCCACGTGCTCTCGTCTCGGGCCGAGCGTGGGCGATACCTCGGCGACCGCGAGTATGCCGTCGTTGTCCTCACCGGCCGCGACCATGATCGCCTTTGCGCGCACATTCTCGAGCTCGGCCTTGATCTCCTGCGGAGTGTTGGCCGGGTTGAGCGGCGCGCTCGTGCAGTACGACAGCACTGCCACAAACGCCACTGCCAGCTCGGGACCGTTTGGGAAGAGGATCGCCACACGGTCGTTGCGGCCGACCCCGTAGTCGCTGAAACAGACCTCATCCGCCACGAAGCGGCGCAGCCGCGCGTGCGTGCACGCGGCTCGGCTCAGGTCCATGGAGCACACAGCAGGACGGTCGGTCTGCGGCAGGAGCTCGATCAGCGTGCGGAACGGGAGCTGCTCGAGCATCGAGTCAGCGTCGAGGCTGCCGTCCGCATCGCGACGCGAGGAGAAGGCGGCCAGTGCGGAAGATAGCGGCACGCCCGTGTCGTCGAGGGAGAGCATTGACGTTATGTCCCTTGCCGCCGTACCCGGAGTTGAAATGTGCAAATTGCGAAAGCCAGCGTTCGCTCGGATTAAGAAATTTCGACGAAACTCCCTCTTTTTTAGAAACTCCCTCTTTTTTAGGAATTTTACTTGCCGGGGGTGCGAACTGAGAATGAAATCCGCGCACTAGGGTCCCTTCTGAGTGTCTACCGAGTAATTTCCTAATCTCGCGCCTACCTAGCTGTCGCGGTGAACCTTCTTTTCTACCAGGCTAGGATTGAGAGCAGCACTGAGGGCCCAACAGGAGAATCGTGCTTTTTGGGTTGGGTTGGGTTGGTGGGCCTGGGTTGGGTTGTTCCGCGTAAGGTTGGGTCGTCGGCGAAGGGTGAGGTCTCGACCGCCGCCGCTCACGCCAGCGGACGGCCACCATCGGTGTTTTTGGCTTCGCCACCGTCCAAAGCGTGCGCAATGCGCTCGCCGGCATCGAGCGAGCACGCCTGTCCGACGAGTGGCTTGCTGTGTGGACGCCTTCTTGTGGCTCTCGCCGAGAGCGTTTTGCGTCCCGGTGGGTGGGAGAATATGTGATAGGAACGAGTGTATCGCTTTGACGGATCGACCGTGCTTGTTATCCACATCGATGTGACGCACACAGTGACACATCAGACGACACATATTCTCCCACCCGCCGGGACGCAAATAAATAGGGCACTCATGAGACGCCCGGAAAAAGAAAACAAAACGCCCAAACCAAGGGAGGGATGGGAGGACGGCACGCCGCCACAACACGCCCGAACACAGAGGCTCCCGGAAAAATCATATCCGCTTGGGCTTCCGCGCGCGCCGCAAGACGCTCAGCCGCAGCGCTCAACCGCAGAGACCGCTCTCGCTGCTTTGGTGATGTTTGCCGCCCTTGCCGACACCCTGCAGGGCGCTCCGTCGGCTCAGTTCGTCGAGGCCGAGGCCTGCACGCGCCACCTCGCCGCTGCGCCGGTAGACCTCCCGCTCCTCGCGACGCCGGTGGATCTCCCGCTCCGGGCAACAGACGCGGTTGCGTCGGACGTCGCGACGGCAGTATTACCGGTCGCGTCAGCAACAGTGGCGGCAGCAGCGGCGTCCGGCGAGGAGCCGGCCGCGCTTGGCACCGGGGAGCCAAAGTTGAAACGACTGAAACGCAAGGACATGGCTGCGATGGACGACGCCTCTCACTTGCGCCGCACGTGGTGCCTCAAGTGCAAGAGCGAGGGCAAGGCGAGCTTCGCCTTCAAGGGCTCGCTGTCTGACAAACGAAACGGCTTGCGTCATCACATGTCACAGGCAAGCTCGCTGCTCAGCCCACCCCACCACCCACCACCCCGCTCACCGCAACAGCCTTTGCACCTCGCTCACTGCAACCGCCGCGCCTCACCGCAATCGCCCTCGCAGGTTCACAAACTCAACATGAATCAGGCAAAGGAGAAGGGCTGGGCGGAAGCCTAGAGAGGGTCAGGGTCTATACCTGACCATAGGAGAGCGGAGTTCGCTAGGTACACGAGAAGTAGAGAGTGGTACTAGGAAGGACGCGGTAAAACGTGCGTGCAGACACGAACAATATCCGCAGTCGGTACGCATTTTACACACACACACCGCCAATGTTTCTTCGAGGCCTCGGGTCTCCTCCTCGAGCTCGACAGAGGTCCCTTGAACATTTATTAGGGGCCCCCTGGACGCGCTGCAGGAGCGCTGACCAGACCTTCCGGCATCCGGGCAAACACAATGATGATGAACACACACAGGCGTCCTCGACGCCCCGGCGTGTGCCGACCTCGGCAATCCTCGCCACGCCCGTGGCCCGGGCAGCCGTGGTTTAATGCTTTCGTCTTTAAGTGTGGAGTCATGGCAGGCCTACGGCACGCGGTGACGCGCTGTGCAGCCGCGCCGCAGATCGTGCATGCGCCCCCACGCATCCATTGATCTCCAACGGTATCGCTAATTCAACGTGTCTATTCAGTAGCTAGTTCCTGCACCAAATTGCGGAGGGAAGCTCGGAGGTGGACGTCGCGTGCAGGTTGCATGAGCTGAGCCAGACGCTCTGCCATAGCCTGATCCTGCTCTGCCGGCGCGGAAGTGGCCTTCTCCGACTCAGGCTGTTGTGCCTCTAGCCTGCTCTCGCCGTCGCTACAGAGTTCGTCATTGTCGCTGCCGCTCTCGCCCTCCACGTCGCTGCCTTCGCCCTCCTCCCCGCTCTCGTCGCTGGCGCTGCTCTCGCCGCTCTCGCCGCTCTCGTCTGAGCCACCCTCTTCGCTTTCCGCCTCGCTGACGCCTGCGAACGCGACACGGGCCTAAGAATTGATAAGGCGCTGCGAGCATCGAGAGAATGCGCACCACGCTGCGTGAGTTCGAGGCAGCGGTTGATGTGAGGTAAGGCTCCGAGCACAGTCTCATTGTTCGGCTCGTCGGTCAAAACTGGAGACGCCAAGCTGGAGCGTCAGGGCAGTGAGAGGCGCGAGAAGGGTGGAGGCCGCTGCGCACTCCGGAAAGCAAGAGCCTTAGCACGTTCGAGATCATGCGCTTGCAGCGCTGCCAAGAACTGCTTCAACGCGCCGAGCGGCACAGTCATGTCGCTCCGATAACGTTACTCGTACGTCTTCTGAAACTGGACGCAAAGAGTCAAAAGCAATCCGAATAAAATCCTCATCGCAAACCCCGTCAGCAGTTCACCCTCGGGTATGTTCATAAGATCCACATAATAAAAAATAAGGCTAGCTCAAAAAATAAGGTGCGGCGAGTGTGCGGGATGTCTGTGGGCCCGAGAGCGATATGCCATGTCCGCCTTGCGTTGTTTCATAACATCGAAGGCTAAGCTCAAAAATAAGGAAACGGCGAAGGACGAAGTGCCCGCCGCGCAGTCGAGTTGGCGGGTGCAGCGGAGGAGTCTGTAGCCCCGACCCGCGAGACAGTCCCAGAAGAGTATCGAGCTGTCTGCAGCAGCGCATGCTCAGCACTGACGCGATTCGTTTCCAGGGCGCCGAATCAGAAGTGAGACCGGAGCAAGAACCGCCGCTGATCTCACCGCCGCAGTCGCCACCAGCCACATGGTGCGCTCTCGATCCCTACATCTCTGTCGAACCTCTATCGGCGGGACAGACTCGTGTACACGTCAATCTTCGGCGGTGGCACCCCTTGGCAGCCCTGTCGTTGCAAACTAGCTTCCAAACTGCGCCCATTGGATGGAACGGAGCCCGGCTTACAGGAGCTCGATCAGGCAGCGCCCGCCTGGACTTTCTGCTGCCCGCCAATGCCTCTCCCAGCCATGGCTTTTACATTGATTTTGAGACGCAAGAGAGCTTCGTGCTTCCAAGGATACTGGACTGCGTGATACCTCCTGCCCCGCCACCCCCCTTCCGTCCACCTCCGCGCCCCCCGCCGCTCCCACCGCCTCCCTCACCTCTTCCACCACCGTCGCCACCACCCCCACCTCCCCTGTCGCCCGAGCCACAGCCACCTCCCGCCCCGCCGCCATGGCTGCCATCGCCAGCGCCACATCTGCCGGCGCAGTCCCTGTTCCTGTCGGCAAGTCCACCATCATTGCAACCACAACCGCCGGATCCGGCGTCGGCCTTGAGCAGCGTGTTCTCTCTGCTCCTGTCAGCACTTGCCTTTATCGCGGTACTGAGTGCCTTTCCCGTCGGCCGCTCCACCGCTCTTGGTCTCTTGCGTTTCATCACCGACCGCTGGAGGCGACCTACCCGTCATGCACCCGAGCTCAAGCTCCTGACGGCCTTGCCCGCTGTGGAGGAGCCTGACGAAATGGACGTCTTGATCGACGGGATTCTGACGAAGGATCCGGAGCTGAAGCGCTTTGCGACGGCTCGCCTGGTAGCGTAGGATGCGCTGTATAGTCGGCCGCAAAAGCGGTCTCGGGCCCACGAGCCACGTCCCAGAGCCAGCCACAGCCAGAGTCGCGCGCACACTGCGCTCCGCCTGCTCGTTTGAGAGCTGTCACGTGTCAGCAGGCCGCGCTCGAACCCGCTCGTGCTCTCGTCAGCACTGAGTGCACGCCAATGCACTAGCACAGGCGCGTCAACGCGAGTCAAAAAGTCAGGTGTGCGACTCTCTCCGACTCCGTTAAGCCGGCACATTTTTTTTTAGTACCATTTCTCCACATTGGATATTCTGTTTTAAGATCTCCTTGTGGGAACAGGGATCAGGGTCTGAGCTGCTTTGCCAGCACGCAGCAGCGCGAGCACTCCGCGCCCTCTTGAGTCTGCGAGGCGACCGAGTGCACCGTTCCTACCTCTGTCTCTCGACTAGTCGTCGCCGAGCTTCAGCACTCGCCGCAAGCTCGCCGCCGCCTCCGCCACCGCCGCGTCGGCTGAGCCCACCGCCGCCCTCAGCCCTCGCGCAACCTCGCCCACGCCGCCGAGCCTTTCCGCAGCGCCGGGCTGCAGCTCGGCGATGATTTGCAGCGCGGCGAGGCCCTCGCGCTGCGTGCCGGGCAGCCGCTCGCCACAGAGGTCGCCGAGAAGTTGGGGCAGCGAGACCTCGTCCTCCGGCCGCCCCGCCACCGACGCCGTCGCCTGCACACTGTACTCCTTCAGGCTGCTGCTCGACGCCGGCTCCACCACGGCGCGCGTCAGCGCCCGCACCGCGCCTCCGTGCAGCAGGCGGAAGCGCGAGGAGGGGCTGTCGGCGAGTGCGTGCAGCAGCGCGGCGACGCGCACTGCGACCGCGTCACCGAGGGCCAGCGCCAGCAGCGGCAGCAGCGCCGGCAGCACCCCATCCTTGAGCAGCCGCTGGGAGAGGTCGGGGGCCGCGTGCTTGCTCGCCGCAGAGAGAAGACGCAGCGCTAGCTCCGCCGTCTGCTTGGGCGTGGAGGGCGAGAGGAGAGGCAGGAGCGCCGACCCGAGCCCCTCACTCACCAGCGCGCGCGCCGCGCTCTCGCTCGCCGCGGCGCTCTCGGCAGCGAGAAGCATCGCCGGCGCCTCAGCACCGGCGGCGCGACCAATCAGCACGAGAGCGGTCGCGGCGGCGTCGTTGCCTTCAAGCGCCGCGACCGTCGCCTGGAGCGCGGCCGGGTCCACCTCGGACTCGGCGGCACCACTTTCGTTGACCGCCTTTTCAATCGCAGCGATCACCACCTCGCGCCGCTCCAGCAGCGCGTCCCGCTGCAGCCCAAGTCGCTCCTCGACGGCGTGACGCACATCCTTCGCAGTGAGCCCGCCGTCACCGGCGCGCTCGGAAAGCACCGCGCGCGTGGCGGAGAGGATGGCGTCGTCGTCCAGGGACACCGTCGTCATCATTCACGCGATTTCTTTTCGTTTTTTGGAAATACTAGTGGTTGACCTGCGGCGGACCCGCCTCTGTTGTTGCGGGCAGTGAGAGACGCAGGATCTGCACGCCAAAGTGGGCCCACTCCGCATTTTCATTTTGGTTTTGGGTTGTCGGAGATCATCCATCAGCACTCATAAGTCAGTCAAAGCAGTCGTGGCACGTGAGCAGAGTCGCTGCATGCAACGGCGCCGCCACACGCTCCGGACGACCGACACACCGACACCACGCACAATGGTAGGCCATCGCGCACGATCGGCCATCGCACCCACCGCAAACACCTCGCCGCACAGATGGGGGGGGAGGCATAATCCCACACACACCGGAGCAGCGCAGACACCTTACACGTCAGCGCTCGCTCGATGTGGCCGGCGCTCTCCCCTCTCCTATCGCCTTTTCAACGGCGGCGTGCGGCCACGCGCCGCGCCGAGCCGGTCTCGGCGGGAGACCTCGGAGCCGCACGCGATGCGGGCATGCGCGATGGCTCCGTTGGCTCCGTGCCTAAGGCAGATAGATTAGGGTGTGAGCTGCGGCAGCCACCGTTTCTGTACCTCGATCACGTGCAGGCCGTCGGAGGCCGCGCTGGATGGCCCAGGGCCGGCGGCGGTGAAGGCGTCCGTCGATGAAGGGATGTCGTCGAGGGAGCCATCGTCCTACGCGGCCGGTGCACCGGTCCAGTTGTCGGAGTTCGAGATCGCCGTCGACTTGGAGAGTTCGGCCCGTTGACGAACTCACGGAATGTGAGCGACTTGGTGCACGCTGATAGTCGAGCATCATGGCTCGCACCTCATCCTGAGCGCAAGGAACTCGCCCAGGGGCCAGCTGTTGGCGTCGCCGTTTTGATCGAGCTGCATCCACTGCATGGTTTCGTAGTCAAGCGTAAACACCCAGGAGTTGGTGCCTGGGTGACTTGCTGATGAGAGCGCCTTCCAGGCGGGTAGTCGTGCCCCTCACCTAAGTGACCTGCGGCGGTACCCGCCTCTCTGTTGTTCGGGCAGTGAGAGACGCAGGATCTGCGGCACGCCAAAGTGGGCACTCCGCATTTGCATTTTTGTTTTGGGTTGTCGGAGATCATCCATCAGCACTCATGTCTCATCAGTCAGTCACGTCAGTCAAAGCAGTCGTGGCACGTGGAGCAGTCGCTGCATGCAACGACGCCGCCACACGCTCCGGACGACCCCGACACACCGACACACCACGCACAAAGGGAGGCTATCGCGCACGATCGGGCATCGCGCCGCAAACACCTCGCCGCACAGATGGGGGGGGGGGCAGAATCACACACACATACACCGGAGCAGCACAGACACCTTACACGCCCGCGCTCGCTCGATGTGGCCGGCGCTCTCCCCTCGGTCCTATCGCCTTTTCAACGGCGGCGTGCGGCCACGCGCCGCGCCGAGCCGGTCTCGGCGGGAGACCTCGGAGCCGCACGCGATGCGGGCATGCGCGATGGCTCAGTTGGCTCCGTGCCTAAGGCAGATCGATTAGGGTGTGAGCTGTGGCAGCCACCGTTTCTGTACCCGCTCGATCACGTGCAGGCCGTCGGAGGCCGCGCTGGATGGCCCAGGGCCGGCGGCGGTGAAGGCGTCCGTCGATGAAGGGATGTCGTCGAGGGAGCCATCGTCCTCCGTGGCTGGTGCACCGGTCCAGTTGTTGGAGTTC